AATTAGAGTGTGTTGTTTCTAGGCAGTTTGGGAGATCGTTTATGTAAATGAGAAATAATAGAGGTCCAAGATTTGAACCCTGAGGTACTCCACAACGAATTGTTTCAATATCAGATTTACAGTTATTTAGCATGCAAATTTGCTTTCTTTGATCTAAATACGATTGGAACCATTTGAGCGTGTGGTCGCGTATCCCATAAGCTTGTAGTTTTGACAATAGAATCTGGTGATCAATCGTATCAAATGCTTTTTTCAGGTCTAAGAAAATAACCCCATTTATTTGACCCTGGTCCATTGATTTCAATCACATTTCAGTAGATTGTAGTAACGAGGCTTCGGTTGAGTGATTGCGACGGAAACCTGATTGATTTTTTACAATTATGTTGTTGTTATCCAGGAAGGTATTTAGTTGTCTACAGACTAATTTCTCAAATATTTTGGCGATATTCGAAATGACTGATATCCGTCTATAGTTTTCACATAAGGTTTTGTTTTCTGACTTATATATTGGAGTCACTTTGGCAAATTTCCAATCATCTGGAAATATTCCTGTCCTAAGAGATAGGTTAAACACTTCTAGGCGTGATTCAGTTATTGTATCACCTGCCTGTTTTATTAGTTTAGCTGAGATCTTATCTAGACCTGTAGATTTTGCCATTTGCATATTTTGTATTTCTCTTTTCAGCTCATAGCTTGATATGCTATGAAAGTGAAATACATTTGTGACTTGGTCTATATATGACAAAGGATCAGGACTACAGCCATTGTCAGCAATGTTATTTGCTAATTTGGGACCTATAGAAGTGAAGAATTTATTAAACTCGTCGACTATATCTTTATCTTGTGTTACATTTTTTCCATGCATGGTCTACGCTAAGTTCATTAACAATTGTGGTTTTGGATTTCCTGTTAAGCAGATTATTTAATGTATTCCAACCTTCTTTACTATTTTTACTGTTTTGTAGTTTAGTGTTGTAAAATTGAACCTTAGTTGCTTTGATTCTTTTGTTAAGTTCATTTCTACAACGTTTATAAGCTTCGTGGTAATTAGAAGAGTTAAATTTGACTGCATGCTTTTTGTTTCAAGTAGAATTTATGATGCGCAAGGTTTTTTATTTCGTTTGTCATCCAAGGACAGTGCTCACTTTTGACTTTCCGAATCCGAAGTGGAGCATGCATATTTGCAATATCAAGAAAAATAGTTTTCCATACCTCCCACGCATGATTTGGGTCGGCATAATTATAGAGGTTGTAGTGCCTTTGAAATGCCATTTGGCATTTTTAAGTCGTATTGAAATGCAGATGAATTAAAGTATTTAAACTGCCTTGTTTCTACAATTTTTGGTTCAGCCCTTGGTATTCCTACTTTGCGGCAAATGTACACTAAACTGTGATCACTCAGTCCTAAATGTATCACTCCAGAGTCTATAATTTTGGTATCGCTTGCTTTAGTCATTATTATGTCAATTAATGTTTTAGATGTTGTCGTTATTCTAGTCGGACTTGTAATGTGTTGCTTTAGCTGAAACTCATTTATCAGATCGGATATAACCTTCTTGTATGATGAGTGGGACTGTTTGCCATCATATCGCAATTTAGGTCGCCAGTGATAATAATATCAATATTTGTATCATCTAGTTTTCGCAGTAACGTTTCGAAGTCGTTTAATATGCTAGTGTTAGAATTTGGTGGACGATACCATGTAACAATTAAGAGTGGTTTTGACGTAGGTTTTTGAATTTCGAGGCAAATGGATTCTAAGTTGTCTGGAATGAATTCAATACGGTTTTTATAACTAATGATACTTCTTATATAAATTGCTACACCGCCACCATTTCGATCTCGGTCTCGTCTTACAATATCAGAACCTGGTATCTTAATAATATTGTCGTTTATTGTATTGTCTATAATCTAGTTTCGTTTATGCAAAGAATGTCGAATGATATTTCCTTCATGAATAATTTAAGCTCATCCATGTGTTTCGGCAAACTAGTAATGTTTAAGTGGCCAATTTTAAAACCCTTTAGTTTTGGATAAGACTTATTAATTTGGAAAGGAATTTTTGGGCTTTTCGAGGTGCAGCGTGCTGGACTATCGGAAATATCTTTGTCGACTATATTATTATCGCTGTGTCTTATGTCATTATTATTGTCGTTACCTAGTCAATTCCTATTAAGAAATTGCTTTATGTTTTTTGCTAAGACTGATGTACCCTGCTTATTTAAGTGCAGTCCGTAGTTATTTAAATGTCGGGTTTACGTCAATATTATTGTGCCTGATAAGACACCAATTTCGTTCTATACATAGTTGGGCTAATCCCTTGTTATATTCGTTTACCTTATCAGCCAATGTTTTATCGTCATTTCTTGTTATGATTTCTGATAAAACTAATTCTATATTCCTGTTTTCTCAAGTAATGCTCTCTCCAAGCTTTTGTACATGTGTCAACAATTCATCTGGCGTCATTCTTTGTAGCCGATCATTGGTTCCGACGTGTAAAATAAGCTTATTTGGTGCCGTGAGTAACGTTGGTTTTACATAGTGATTCATTTGTTTTATTCCCGCACCAGGAAATGGTTTTACAAAAATGTTATGCTTCATTCCTTGTTGAATTCGTCTCGCGTTTATTTGTTTAAGCATAGAATCGCCCAAAATAGCATCTCTTGATTGTCCTACACGCGGACTCGCGGAGATCTGCGAGAATCTTGGGCTCGCTCGTTGTTGTTGTTATTTCGGTCGTTGTCTGCTTGTTGTTTTCTAGGCGCAGAATAGTTACGTCTTTTGTCTTCATTGGGCCTGATGGTGTGTCTGGGTGGTTCAGATTGATTTTTATTCCGCTTAGGTAATTGACTTTGAGATAATATGTTAAAATCTCATCGTCACTTTCATCAACTAAAACAGAATATTGCGGATTATCTGTCTTGGCTAGTCCATTGTGACTATTTTGCCCAGAGTTTTGTCCACGTTGTGTGCTTTCATTCTGATTTGGCTTATGATTTTTAACAACATTCCATGACCATGTACTTTGTTTATTTGTATTGCAATCATTTTGTACCATTTTGATTGCTGTTATTAAACTTTTCTGTTAGTCATCTTCCAGTTGTTTAACTTTCGTGTGTAAGTCCGATGCAATACACTTATAGTTATTGACTTGGTCCGATAGTATGTCGATTTCTTGCTTCAGTTTGCCATTTTCTTTAATTAAGGAATTTCGGTCTTCACTGATAGTTTCTTCTGTTGTTTTGGACTGTCGAATTTCCTGCAAAAGCTCATCGAATTTGTTTACAAAACACAGTTCAAGGTCTCGTATACTGTCGAGTACTTTGTTGTAGTTCGATGTCTCATGTGAATTTATTTCGATATGACTGTTTTCGGTCGAGGAGTGTATTTACGTCGTCTCCCTCCCTGTCGCCATTTCCTTCACTGACAAAAGCGTTTGATAACTTGGTTTCTTTATCAGCTATGTTGGCCATTATTCGCAACCGAGAGTTTATTTCTTCGACTTCGTCTTGCTCCCCTTTAATAATTAAAGAGTAATTGTTTGAATACCACCACATTTCGAAGTTGTCCATCTCTAGCAGCTTACAATGACCACCAGGCGATGACCATTTTGTCTGCGTCTCGAGCAACTCGTTCATCAGTAATTCGTGATTCTCGAAAGAACCTGTCCATCTGAGTTTTCCTTTTTCAGTAATATTAAGATACTTAACGACATTGATGTTATTCGCTCGCTTAGATTCTACATTTCTTGTTGTATTCTCTTCAACATCGCTTAATTCGGCGTCAGAGCTCACAAATAAGCGTTTTCTCAGTTTGGAAAAGAGCAATTACTTGAAGCGATGACTAAAGTTGCTTTAGAATGTCCGTCGTATGGCTTCTATACGTGTGACCAATTTATTTTCTTAATTAGTTCTTGATACGACTCGGACATGTTTGTTCTCGACACACACGAAGTTCCTGTCGAAGCCGGTGGGAAGAGCACTGCCCTTTTGAAAAGATTCGCACAAATATCATACTATAAAAATCTATCGCACAAATATCATACTATAAAAATCTCGTTCATCAGTATTTCGAGATTCTCGAAAGAACCTGTCCATCTGAGTTTTCCTTTTTCAGAAATATTAACATACTTAACGACATTGATGTTATTCGCTCGCTTAGATTCTACATTTCTTGTTGTATTCTCCTCAACATCGCTTAATTCGGCGTCAGAGCTCACAAATAAGCATTATCTCAGCTTGGAAAAAAGCAATTACTTCAAGCGATGACTAAAGTTGCTTTAGAATGTCCGTCGTATGGCTTCTATACGTGTGACCAATTTATTTTCTTAATTGATTCATACGACTCGGACGTGTTTGTTCTCGACACACACGAAGTTCCTGTCGAAGCCGGTGGGAAGAGCAGTGCCCTTTTGAAAAGATTCGCACAAATATCATACTATAAAAATCTACAATAAAAACACTATATAATATCTATGTTCTATGAATATCACCAATAAAAGTTAAGAATATGGATGTTTATAGAGTCTGTTTACGAGAATGTACAATTAAAAAGTTTTTTTCTTGATCGAATAATACTCTGTTCATCTCTAACATCTTTTGGCAATTCATTGAAGATTCGAGCTCCTTGAAAAATGAAACTTCTTCTTCCAGCCTCCGTCTTAATTTTTGTGGAATTTGCAGAGATGAATCATTCATTACCTCGAGTGTTATTGGTGTGTGTGATCTTGGTAAAGTAATTGTCAAAATGTCCAGGGCTTAGCGTGTGCACACATCTAAAGACTTCAACCGCTGCTTTTCTTTGGAGCGTCGTATTTATACTCTCTAAGATAGGAGGATTTTCTGTATCTACAATCAGCATTGCTCTTTCGTGAACTTTTTCAAGTTTGTTAAATTGTGCAGAAGGCAATCCCACGTACATTAGAGCAATATACAGAAATACGATTTTGGGCATCTACCTTGGATATAACTAGTATACTTGTAGAACGGTTATAGAAAGGTTTTGTAGATGGAAATTTCACGGCAATGCAGGTTCGATTCCTGCTGGAGGCTTTATAGTTGCATTTTTCTCAACTGCTTGGGTTTAATAACTTCACTTGATCTTTAGGTCTACAAAACAGTTCTATACAAGTACTAGTTATATCCAGAGTAGATGGCCAAAATCCTATTTCTGTATAAATGAGTATCTGTTGCTTGCGTTGAAAGAACCGGCTTTAAGGATGCGGATAGAAGTGGGCGCTGCGGACATATGCATCGAAATATGATCAAGAATACTTCACAACTTGTTTGTGTGTCGGTGAATGACTAAAGCCTGCATGGCGCACACGACGCGATTTTGGTCGGCCGATAAAAATCGTTTGACATACCGATATACATCGGTATACTCCGCACACGATTACGAAAAAAATATGCTCCCTGAACTGTAGCCGCCATGTTGCCAAATAAATACAAGCACGTGATCACAGCATGAAATCTGATTGGTTATACTTAAAATTCCACCGATAAAAATCGTATAATATCAAAACGTTTTGATGTTGTCCGATTAAAATCGATTAAAAATGACATCGCACACACAGCGATTTTGTTAGTTTTAGTGAAACGATTTTTATCGGCCGACTAAAATCGCATCGTGTGCGCCAGGCTTAAGTACCCGTCACGCATTCTAACCAGTGAACATGTAAAGAATTACGATGGCCCACTTGGCCAAATGTCAATAAGGCGTGCGTCTTTATCGGGCTTGCAGTGCACGCGCTGATCTATATATTACTGATATTTAAATTTGATCTATATAGAGGAGCCTGCGGAGGAGGCAGATCATAGCATGCACGGGCACAGTGGCGCATTATTAACTTCTTTTGAACTCGGTTGTTTTTATAGTCTGCATGTGAACACAAATATATGGATATATATGTATATTCGCCTCCCAGATAGAGACCTTACGATTTTAGAACGGCAACCAAACCAAAACAAACTCCTTCAAATAAATGGTAGTCGATAGTTCGTCGTATATTATCGATCGTATGAATTTAATACAGTCTTAGAAGTTGAAGACATGGGTTTTATGGTTGGGAAGAGTTCTGCTAAACCCCGTTTGAAGTTGCATTTGTTGTGGCTTGGAATGCAGCCGTTGTATCAAGACGTGAAAATCTGTGATTTAACGTTGTAAACAGAGTGAGGACAATGTCTAAATTATTCATTTATTGTAATTACTCAATTCTTCTCAATGATCTATTGTATTGGTAGCCGTTGCCGTCGCGGTTGCCGTCCTAAAATCGTAAGGTCTCTATTATCGAGCTGGCGACGCCACTGCACGGACAATAGTTGTCTATAGATCGCCGGCTATCAAATCTAGCGTTCATTATCTTTAATATTTTACCTAAACTTGTCATCTATTGCTGTTCGAGGAATTAAGAATTTAAAATGGGTGTCTGGTTATGTGGTTGGCGCTTCTTTCTGTTCGTTTCACTAATCGTGACCGCTAATGCTGCAACCGTTCCAGCGGAGAAGTTACTGAAGAAATTTGGAACGAATTACACCATGGATGCAGCGCAAATTTCAGAATTATTTGAGAGTATGGGAATCTCCAATTGGCACTACGATGGTTCAAGGGAAGAGGTAAAAATTTTTGGATATTAGAGCCATCTACACGAGCGAAAATAAGCCGCAACCTAAATCAGCCGCGGCTTAAATAAGTCAAGAACAATAGAAGTTATACGGTATTTTTCAAAACTAGAGTTGAAACTGTTCGGGCCTTAAATAAGCCGCGGCCTTATTAATCCAGCGAATGTTATACTGGGGCCGGTGGTCTAAAACTCTTAATCACTTTTTTAATCACTATTTTGTAGTTAAATAGTGATTAACTCTCAAATAAGCGCTTCTTTTGGATGGCATTTCCACTTAACTATGATTATAACTTTAATCACTTTTTTATACGACCGGCCCCAGGATTTCCCCCCCCCCCCCCCAGAAATAGTAAATATATATAGGTGTATTGATCTTCTTATATGAGCCGGGAAAGAACCAGAACACGAAGATATAAATATTCGACCCCCAATTATCGAGCTGGCGGCGCCGCAAATTTTTTTTCCGTAGACAGTCGGACTCTTCATTGATAGTCGGACGCATCATTGATCCGCGTCCAGGCCTCCGCGCGTTATCAATGGATCCCTTCGTAACCCACTGGTGCACTATATATCCATCACTCCACGTTGTTCTTCTTCGACCACGTGTCAGATGAACGATTTACTTCGCGATGCCATAATTATAAATCTACAAACTTGTCGACAGTTTTCTTGTTTTTCCGAAAATACTCAAGAACGGTTATTGCGAGTTAAAACTATATATCATACCTATTGAAGAGAATCAGGATAAGATTGAATTGAATTGATTTAATGACTACTGACTTTGTAACCCAAAAAGGTTAAATTACACCAGTTTACATAAATTAAGAGGATAAGTTAAAATTACATAATAATTACATATTTAAGATTATTTACATTTCTAAAAACTTATTCACTGTTAATCTTTAATATACTTTGAGGTAAAAACGAATTCTTAAAACGTTCGGTTCTGCAAACATAATTATGATATTTACATATCGGTCTTAGATCATATCCAGATAAAACTGTTTGTGGTAAAAGATCTTTGAGATTTTCATTGTCAATATTCTTCTCAAAGAAATGTTCGCATAATTTTTCTCGGCGATCTCTCAGTGACGCGATGTTAGTCGTGATCAGCGCTTCGTCGTACTTTTGCGATGGGAGGATGATTCTCAACGCGCGTTTTTGTATTTTTTCAATATCGTCACAGAAATATTGTTGGATATTGTAATGCCAGACCTGGCATGCGTACTCTAAAACAGGCCTAATAATGGTAGTATATACAGTAATCAACGTGTCAATACACGCGTTGGACCTTTTTAGCAGTCTTAGCATATAGAGCCTCTTGCTAGCTTTTTTAACTATGTTGTTTATATGTTCATTCCACTTCATGTTATCTTGAACTGTGAGGCCAAGGATAACTAGCGTCTAGCGTGCAAGGAAATAGTGTGGAAGAATCAAAGCGACAATCAATACCACTTTCCACAAATAGAAGTATTGCAGAATACCCTGTGTACGGAATACATATCATGTAGCCCGGCCACTATTTCACTGGATACGTATATACCAGATCTTATTGCCTCGTTCTAATATACAAGTTGAAACTAATTACCAAGACAATACTACGAATTGATACTATAAAGGAAATATCATGGAAGAGTATGTTTTATAATATAAAATATTTTCTCTCAGCGACGCTAGTTACACTGGCCTGTAAGGCCAGGTGTCTTAAATCCCCCTTTTTCTGTCTTTTTTTCGAGAAATCGAGTTTGCGTTAGCTCATCGCAGGCTCAGGGTGCAACGATTAAACCAAAATGCCATCGATTCCCTCGGTTCCGTGATTTAGATAGTATAGTAATAAGCTCGTATATATGTACGTAATAGCCGACTCATGGCATGCTTGTGGTGCATTTTTCGTTTATTAGCCTATACACTTGTACGCACGCGCACAATTCCGAACTGCAATGGCGGCTTTTCACAGAGTGATCAAACTATATTTTACACAGTTTCGTTGAATTTTCAAAGAATTGTGCCGGTTTCCTTTGTATTTTACGTTGTGTCGTACTCTGGACTTTCTTGTGTGTTGAATTAATGTGTTTTTCTTTGTGTAATGACTCGAAAACCACAAAATATAATACTTAGTACTCCATGAAATATAATCCGCGCGAAAAGCTTTGTGGTAGCTATACTAAAGATAAAGCGTGCGTTCAAAATACCAACAAGAACTACTCTGAACTAGAACCATTATTGTATCATTTGTATGGTTCTCATTTGCTAGACTTGCCACAAGTCGATCTCGAAGAAACGCATTTCGTTCGAGGTCGACTTGTGGCAAGTCTTCTCATTTACAATAACATTTGTTCGACGCGAATTTTAATACAAGTATGGTATCATATTTCATAATACAACAAACAATGTAAACTAGCCATACATTTTGCCGAACATAACTTCGGCCCTTTTGGACATATCTTTTTCGTGATAATGTTATTGGAACCAGAATCGAAAACACTATTTATAGTGTTATTTTCAAGCTTGTGTCTTGAGATTTTCAACTTTTTTATATTTCAGTATTTACAGGATATTTATATTTTTAGCGCGGCCCATGGAACGCACACGAAAACAACGCGCTGTTAGGAAAAACCGGAAATCGATTCTGTAGGTCCGCATGATTTGCACGTGCATCGATCTCCATTACGTCTCCCGAAAAGGTCTTTTATTTTTTTAAAAAGTCCATAAAATTTGCTTGCGGTTTAAGATTTGTATTCCTGCCTTTTGCACCATAGCACGTATCTCGTTATTTTCAGGCCTGTGTGAACGCCTGAGCAGGCGTCTTGTTAATCATAATCTGCCAAACATGTCCGGTTGTGAGGAACATATTTGCATATTACACCATATTTAATATAGCATGAGAATTTAATCTATTAATGCCAACTAACTGCATGTCGCCTTAATCTCAAAATAACTACTTGACTGTGTATCCACGCATTCGCGTATCCACTAAAATATAGAGCTACCTATAGCATGAGAATCCTGTCACAGGAGATTCGCCCCCCCCCCCAGGAGATTCGCCCCCCCTCTCAAAAGGGGGGCGATATTCCTAGGATATTCGCCCCCCCCGGGGCGAATCTCCTAGGAATATCGCCCCCCCCAGGGGGCGAATCTCCTAGGAATATCGCCCCCCTTTAGGAATTTCGCCCCTCCCCCTCATATAAATTTTGAATTTTTGATCTAAAAACAAAACGATTGCAAGTTGAAAAGATTCACTGCGTGATTTATTACAAGGAGACAAAATCACATTCAAAATCACATAGGCTTTTTAGCAGCTGGTGGTGTGCACAGTCTGCATAACCACTCATTTGAGGTACTTAGACTAGTGTCATATTCTACACATCTAAAATGGAACCATTGCCCACAGAGATCGCATAAAATCATGTCGTATTCTTCTGGCAGTTTACATTCACATAACATATTATAAAAACAATCGCTTGCAAATTTTATCAATACCAGTGTTAACAATAACCGCCACAGTAATCACTTGCTAACAATAAACTGTAGGATTAATAAAAAATCTATGGAATGCGTTGGGAAGCGTATTGGCTATTGTCCGTTGAATCATCAACTTTCAATGTCAGTGTTAGTGATGTAATCTTGATTCTTGACTTCCGCAAAGAAAGTTGCATTATATATGTTTATATATGATTCAAATAATTTCATGATACTTTGATTTTATTAGTGCCTTAAACATTTGAGAATGTAACTCTGCAAAACTAAAAGCTTTTTTGTCTTTTTTTGAAACGTATATTATTGGAATATTGCCTATTGGCAAGTTCTATCCTTCGCTTCTGAGATTTACAAACTATATTGAAATAATGCAAGTAAAAAATAGTGACAACTTATAAGCCACACATTTTCCAATAACGACAAAACGTGGATGCAAATCAATACCAATAAT